GGCCGAAGAGGAGGCCCTGGAGTGGTGCAAGTGCCTGCTGGCCGGCGGTGGCGGCTACGAGGAGTTCTGCGCGGCGGTGCGGGCCTACGACCCCGCGGCACTGTGCGGCCTGGTGTGGACCGCCAACTTCGTGGCCTACCGCTGCAGGACGTGCGGCATCTCCCCCTGCATGTCGCTGTGCGCCGAATGCTTCCACCAGGGCGACCACACCGGACACGACTTCAATATGTTCCGCAGCCAGGCCGGGGGCGCCTGCGACTGCGGGGACAGCAACGTGATGCGGGAGAGCGGGTGAGCGGGGCCCTCCTGGGAGAGGCACATGTGCCGGGAGCTGGGCTGTGGATTTTCAGGGGCCAGGGCGGGAGAGCGAGAGGCAGGGAAGACCCAGTGCGCGAGGTTGGGAGGGAGGACAGTGGCGGAGTCTGTTGTGAGCTGTCAGTTGTGTACTTGTTGGGAAAGACTGGAAAGCTGCCCGCCTGGTTGTTGAGACTTAGGAAGTGTTTCGGATTGGGAGGCTAGCTGGTCGTTTTGGGAACTGAATGGGGCCCAGGGATGAGGCGAGCTGGGGAGGTGGTCTTGGAACTGCAGGAAAGGACGTTTGGGAAAAAGACTTCTAAACTGTCGGGTGTCTGTGACAGGGAAGGCGCTCCTGTGCTGAGGCGGGTTGCAGGAGGAGGGAAGGGGAGGGGCCTGCATGAAAAGTGGCTGTTGAGCTGTCAGTGGAGTATTTGGTGTGCCCAAGTGACACCTAGAATTGGACTACTGAGCAGTCAGTTACAGAATACCCGTCATACCAGAAGAACAAACAGAACACTGAGCGAATTAGGAATCAAATGTTAGGTCTTCTCCAGATAAGGGCACTTTAATCACTTCCTAGTACGGGAACACCTGACTTGGCAAATGCGTCCGACGAGAGCTTGCATTTTAACAGCAGAGATGCATCAGGTGTTGCGATTTACAACAAAAGACAACATTCAAAGTGTGCATGAGTTAAAAGAGTTGGAACATGTAGACTCTTGGTTTGGGACATGATGTCAGTGTCAGGGAAAGTCCTGAGGAAAAAAGAAAGAACTTTGTGTAAAAGTGGTTTTTATTGGGCAGTAGTTTAAAGAACATTAGTAAATCCAGTTATTCTTTTATTTTTATAGTTAATGATGGAGCATATCTTTTTTAAAGAAATAGGTGCTTTCTAGCGCTGGGGATTTAGCCTAGTGGCACCGCACCTACCTCTCAAGCAGCAAGGTCCTGAGTTCAATCCCCGGTACCAAAGGGGGGGGAAGCAAGAGTCACTTTCTGCATCTTTTTGGAGTACTTGTAACTTGCTGTTATTCTAAAATATTTTTACTTATTATGTTCAATAAGTAAGGCGCCTTGATTTTTTTTTTTTTTTTTTTTTTTTTTTTTTTTTTTTTAACTCGGGACCTTGCACTTGCGAGGCAGGTGGTGGAACCACTGAGCTAAATCCCCCGCCCCACAGCCTTGAATATTTAAAATGAATGAGATGTTGATCTATCCCTTAACCTACTATCTCTAGTGTTGAAAGCGATATTCTTTCTTTCTTTTTTTTTCTTTTTTTCCCTTTGGTACTGGGGATCGAACTCCGGTCTTTGTGCTTTCGAGGCAGGTGGTGGAACCACTGAGCCAAATCCCCGGCCCGAAAGTGATAAATTCTTTAAATAGTCTGGAAATTAAGGGAGGGAGAGGAGGCTTCTGTACACAGGGAGTAAGAAAATGGCTTTAGAAGGGAGATATTTTGCTAATGACAACAGTAATAAATGCAGTAGCATATGGGATCTGGAAATGTATGCTTGACACTTTAAAAATAGAGTTTAGCATTTGAAAAATATTGAATAAAATATTTATATAGCTAAAAAGCCTCAATATTATAATAAAAAATACAGTTTCAAATTTCCCTATCTGCTCAGTTTTTTTTATTTTCTCTTACTGGAGAACAAGCAAGGATAACTATGTTTCCTAATTTTGTCTCGTTTTATGTAAAGGTAACATTTTGCACCGCTCTAAATCTTGTTTTTCACTTAGATGTCTTTTCATATCGGTGTCCTAATTCTGCTTTGTAAAAGATGCTATATGGTATTCCATGTCATGAATTTGTCACTTTTAATTTTATTTATTTATTTATTGGTACCGGGGATTGAACTTGGGTCCTTGCGCTTGCAAGGCAGGCCACCGAACGGCTGAGCTAAATACCCGGCCCTTGTCATTCTTAATTTAATAAACTTTTTTGATGAGTATTTAGGCTTCCAGTGTAAAATGGAAAAAAAACTGGTATGCCTATCTTTCCACACCTGTACAAGAATATCAGTGGGATAAATTCTTAAAATTGGGCTTTCTAATTGTCTTCCATAGGCTTATTACCAAGCAGCCTTATTATAACAGTCTTATTAGCAGTATTATTAAAACTCTGAACTGGGGGATTTAGCTCAGTGGTGCTGCCACCTGTCTCACAAGCACAAGGTCTTGAGTTTGATCCCTGGTACCAAACACACAAAAAACTCTGAACTTTTATTTATTTGGTTAAAGCAGCAAATGTAACTGCATGATTTAGCTCATTTAATCTTCAAGAATTGAGATAATCTGCTTTTATTCCCATTTTACAGAAGAGGAAAGTAGAGCACAATACTCTCAGCACTTGGGAGGCTGAGGCAGGAGGATTGCTTTTAGTTTAAGGCCAGCCTGGGCTACATAGTGAATTTAAGGTCAGCATATTGAGACCCTACCTCCAAAAAAAAAAAAAAAAAGAATTTAAAAATTTGGTCAAGGGGCCTGGGTTTACCTCTGTGGTGCTGCCACAATTATGGTCAAGAGCTGGATGTAATTGCTCATGTTTGTAATCTCAGCTATCATGAGAGACTGAGGTAGAAGAATCACAAGTTCAAAGCGAGTCTGGGCAACATAGCAAGAATGTATCTTAGAATGAAATAAAGGATTAGGGATGCAGAGCAATAATCCTTGGATTCCATCTCTAGTATTTCAAACCAAACGCCCCTCCCCCCATGAATAATAAAAAAACTTGCTGACGATCACACAGGTAGTAAGCTAGGTATGCTAGCTCTATTATCTGACTTCATAACCATGTCTTTCTTCTGCCTCTACTAAATATCCCTCCACCTTGCATGATCCTAGGAATCAGCATTCTATCTCTGAGCTACATCTTCAGCCCGGTCAGTGAGATTCTTTGAATGTACTCTGTGTATTCAGGCATCCAGTGTGGAGATAGTCCACATTCTAGTTTCATATTTGCCTTTTTTGAAGTTACAATAGAGCTCATTTTCTCCCACTGTGGCTGTCCTCTATGAGTTGATACATAGTATTAAATCATGTATAATCTCCTTCTGAAATACAGAGCTGTTGTTGTGTATGTGCCAGAATTGCCATGTCCAGTTTCATAAGGGGCAAGGGTTGAACAAGAAATGGTATTGTGGACATGTGATTATTCTGAATTGTTTGTAACTCCTTGTTAGATAGAATAATTCTGTGCTACACACCTAACCCACTGCTTCAAAGAGAGATACAGGTAATGTTGGCCAGTAGAACAAAGTAAAGTTCTGCCTGTGAAATCTTTTTAGAATTGGAAATCAGTAAGTTATAATGGTATTCCTGGTAAACAGACTATACTATCCTGGCATGTGCAAAATTAAACTTTTCTGTTTTTATATTAAAAATATCCTTTAGATTGCTAAAAACATGTTTCTGTTTGGGGGGGTACTCTAATGGCCATAAAAGTTTGTAAATTCCATTAGTCAGTTTCACAGGAAGGATTACATTTTTTTTCTATTTTGTGTTTATACCTGTTTTTATTGATGGAGTAATTTTTTTTTCAGTACTAACATTTTAACTCAAGGTCTTCTTTTATACTATGCAAACACCTTACCACTGAGTATACCCCCAGCACTTTATCTGTGTAGTTGGGAAAAGAAGAAATCTTGCTATGGCTTAATATTTTTTTTAGGGGTCTTAATTAATTAATTATTTTTATTTTTTTAATTGAGTTTATTGGTACATTCTAGGTATATAGTATAGTTACTTTCATTTATGGCTTAATTCTTTGAAAGTGTCTAATGACTGTTGTGATAGGGTATTATGTGATTGGAGATGGTCTGTTACAACTCTATTAGTATTTAACTTTCAAACTTGCAATTATAGAAATATGGTGAGTTTTGAATTATTTAGTAATAGTAGTATTGGTATAATCAATGTAGTGATATTAGTAGATACATGACACAAAGAAAGAAAACAATTGATTCATTTGTGAGATGAGGTCGTGAAGATTATGGAAACTATTGATAATGATATATAACAACATAGTTTTTTTTCCCCCACCTTGGGAATCCAACTTAGGCCTCATACATACTAGACAAGTGCTGTCCCATGAACTACACTCCCAGTGATAACATAGTTTTGCCACTAGTAAATACATTGTCACAAATGGTCAATAAATGGATAAACTAAAAACAGAATGACACAAAGCAAAACAAAACAATGTGATAGAAAATTTAAAATAATATCTTGGTGGTTGGGTTTGGGCTCTGATGGATTAATAATTAGAATTAAGATGTTATTTAAAAAAAATTTTTTTTTGAACTCACAATGTAGCCCAGGCTGGCCTCGAACTTGTGGCAATCCTCTGCCCCAGCCTCCCAAGTGTTGGGATTATAGGTGTGTGCCACCATGCCTGGCCCAGAGTTGAGATTTTAAACGTTTAGTTCTCAAATTTTGATGTGGAGCTTGAATATTTTCATTTTCTATCAAGTATTACAGATTTTGTTTTGTCTCTCTGCTGATTCTTCCTTACAAATTCTAAGTTCCTTAAGAAATAGGGACTCCAGATGTGAACACTGTCTCTTGCATTTAGTAGATGCTCAGGAAATATTGATTTAAATTGGGCTATGCCTGAATAGTTGTCCAAAGGTTACATTGCTTTAGTTATTTAGGAGGTGGGGTTGATTATTAAACCTATAACAGCTTTTTTGTTTTTTTCAGAATGCTTTAGAGAAAATTTTTTGTTTTAATTAAAAAATGTGTATTAGTTATTACAGAAAAATAAGTGACTCAAGTAAAAATTAAGTTTCCTTTCTCCATCTCAGAGTTCCCATACTTTTTGGGGGACTTATTTATGCGTTTAAAAAGATGTTATAATGTTAGTTAACATCATTAAATTTTTTTTTGTTGGAGGCTTTTAGGTCTTTTGGTCTGTGACAGTGCTAGCAGTGGAAGGCAGTAAGTGGTTGTAGTGTCATTCTTTTTAGTACCTTGGTTTTTTTTTTGTTTTT